TCCTAAATAACAAAACTCCTTAACAGATGTTATCTCTTCATTATTTATTTTGAAATTCATATTTTTTATTAAACGATTACTGTTGTTAAATATCATTACTTTAGTTTTTCTAACATTAACATTTACGTTCCATTTTGTACAATAATCATTTAGTTTGTTCAGACAGTTTTGTAGACCGTCCACGGACTCCGAAATAATTGCCAGGTCATTATAGAGGGCCTATTTGCCTCCCGCGCGGGCCCGCTCTGGAAGGTGAAAAACACCCCGCTTTCCCGCTAAATTTGGAACGCACAAGGGGTAGTAACAGCAAGAAATACTGCCGAAATGAATACTGAACCACACAATTTAGTATTAAACACACCAAAACACAAAAGAGAAACAAATAAATCACTAACCTGTGGACGTGGTGAAGGCATCTTCGAACGCCTGCCGCCAAAACACCAACTTGAGTTATCGTCTGCAACTCCCACAGATAAACGAGTGTTGCGGACTCCCTAGACTGTTGACAATTGGCATTCATAGTAATACTCGCAGATACCCGGATATAACCGGAAATGCTCGGTAACCCTCGTACGCCGGTATGTTTTGTTTACACTTGATCGTTACAGGCCAATTTCTCGCCATCCGCGCATCGCCGTAAGTGCATATATCGCTTACACGAAACCATTATAGTCTGTTAAAAGATCTTACGATCTAAAAATGCAACTTTAATATTGAAATATGCGACCTTGAAATAAAAGCATATACTCCGTCTTGAACCACAGTCACTCTACTAGAAGCCATCTAAAGTTGTTGACAAGAATTAACCAACTAACAACCACTCATGTTTTCACTGAACGGACAGCCCGTACATTGACCAAGTTAACTTTATGAGTTTATTTTATTAACAATGTTTGATAGTTTTGTCTCGTGAATTTTAGCGAGGCCTTTTAAGGATATGACAAGCTCTACGTAATTGAACATATCAAAATACGCCTCCACAAATACGAGTCAATATTTACGAATACATTTGAACAATTCAGTGACTTTTGGTATAACATTATAATGGTATGTGTATTTTTATATCTACAAAAAAATATTTATGGAAATATCATAACAAATTAAAGGCAATGTATTACATTTGAAGCACACTGTGTCCTCTGTAAATATGTATACAAATTTGTTCAATCTTAAACGCTGGCAAAACCAAAGTTATGTTGATAGGAAAACCACAACAATTAAACAAAAATAGGTTGGAAAATGTAAACATTGATGGTATATTGGTTTCCGCAAAAATAGTCTACACAATCTTGCGCACATTTGTTAAGCGTCATTTAATTATCTTCTTAGAATATCACAAATTAGGAAATGTCCAAAATGTTGGTACACGTCCTTGCCAGTCCGAGAATAGCCTATTGTCCCGGTAATTCCCTCTATTGATTGCAGAGGACCCTGAATACTGCTGTGAGGCTTATTGTTGTCTGTAAGAAATATAACACACCGACCCTTATTGAATTGTATAGACTTATAAACTCTTATGTTTAATGTTTAAAGGGGAGTTGTCATCTGTGCATGCGCCTGATGGCCACAGCGTGTCATTGTTTACAAACAAGCGTCTACCCATGAGCCTTTGCGTTTTTAGCGTGTGTTGTTATCGCACTTGGGACTCAATTCCCGCGCGTGCGCAGGTAACGACCAACCCGCTTTAAGTCACTCGGGACGAGCATTGGTGTGTATCATCGACTGAAACAAACATAGCCCTGAGTACAGTCCTG